TCCCTGAGGGCAGGGCTGTGTCTCCCCTCAGACTGGGGCTCCCTGAGGGCAGGGCTGTGTCTCCCCTCACACCGGGGCTCCCTGAGGGCAGGGCTGTGTCTCCCCTCACACTGGGGCTCCCTGAGGGCAGGGCCGCATCTCCTCCTGTCTCTGACTGGAGAGTCCCAGCCTCTACTCCTACTCTTTTAAGCCTCCCAGATGGGAGGGTGGGACCCTCAGGCTCCCTCCTTCAGCACCAGCAAAGAGGTTTTATTGTAACCTTTCCAGTGCTTTCTCCCTTTGCTGGGGCCCTGGAGACTTCTGACCTCACCACCCAGTGCATGGTTGTTTTCTCAAGGCCACTGAACTGAAAATGATTCCTTGGAGGAAAGCAGGGAGGAAAGGGGCCCTGAGCTCTGTTCCCTGGCCTTGATTTAAGGAACAAAAGAAGCTAAGCTCCAGGCTGCTGTGCGGACAGCTGAAGGGTTTTATGCTCTTTTGGGGAAAAAATACATTTGCCTGTTGGAAAAAAATTTGTCTTTGAGCTCTCCAAAGACAGAAATTGGAGAAAAAGCACTTATGTGTCTGGTGTGTCTGTGCCCTGTGGTTGGGGCCCTGCTTCGGGGCAGAAGACCTGGTTTCCTCCCCCTTGACTTCTTACTGGCTGTGTGCCTGTGGGCAGGTCACTCACTGTCTCTCAGCCCTGGAGTCCTCAGCGCATCAGGGTGAGGGTCACAGAAGAGCTTTCAAGTGCTGCGCGGGTGTACATGGTTGCCGTGGGGGAACCTGAGGCCCTCAAGATGGCTGCCATCAGAAACATGATGTGTGGGTGTGGGTGGGTGTGTACGGAGGAGAAGTTAGTTGAAACATGACTTCCAGGGCCTCGTCCAGACCTGCAAAACTGGGCCCTGGGCGTGGGGCCCAAGAATCTGCCTTTTTACAAGGCAGGACAGGGGCGAGTCTCAGGAAGTGAGAGGCCCATTGCTCATGGAGGGGGAAGGCATCGTCTCAAGGCTAGGAGAGTAGCTCAGCGGGCCCTGGGGCTTCAGTTAGGACAGGCACTTGGGGTGAGGTACAGAGAGGGGCAAGTGTGAAATAAGGGACCAGAGGGGGTGTAGGATGCAGGGACTTAGGCAAAGGGGCAGAAGGGCCTCAAAGCTGAGTGGGGGAAAGGACAGGAGGCCAAGGAGGAGCCTGAGGCTGGGGTAAGCAGGGCTGCTGTCAGCCAGTGGGGAGATTCAACACAGACTCACAGTGGGGTGCTGGGGGTGTATGTGTTGGGGGTGGGCTTCCTTGGACAGGCGAGGGGAAGGTTTTGTGTTTGTTGCCCATCCTGTGTGTCCTTTCTCACCAAGTAAACCTGAGCACCCCCCAGGAGGGTGACTGCTCTGCTCAGCACCGGGCCAGTGATGACTGACCCTCTGACCAGACTCACTATGCCCAAGGGCTCCAGGGCAGTCCTGACGGAGGAAATGTGTTAGCCCTACTTTACAGATGGGGAAACTGAGGCACAAGGAAGCCAAGTCATTTGGCCACGCACTTAGCCATCAGGCTGTATGGCGGCCAACTCTGACCGTGATCAGACACCATGCAGGTGGAGAGACAGCCTCACTCAGCCATCTGGCCATTCCTTTTTGTCTTCCTTCATCCATCCAATCTGCCAGCCCCCTGGCTCTGAGTCATGTGCTGGTCGGGCCTGCCGCAGAGGTGGGGTCCCTAGGATGAAGGAGCAGCTGGTCGGTGTGAGAGATCGATGCCCCCCTCACTTTGCAGCCCGGCGTGTGCTGAGTAGGGCCATGGGGTCCTACAAGTCAGAGGGTTGCACACCACAGGCCAAAGAGAGCTCAGGGGAGGGGAGAAGAAATGGTTGTTGATCAGGGCCTGTTCAGGGAAGGCAGAATCGAGGAAGATAGATAGGAATGGGTCTGGAAGGATGATGAGGATAATCTCAGCAGGGAGGAGGGACCGGGGTTTTTGTCATCCTCAGGTGCTATGGCAGGCTGACCCAAGCCCCAGGACTCAGGAAGAGTCCTGAGGTCACTGGGCAGGGAGCCACTGAAGCTACATGGCTGGTTCTATTTCTCAGGCCACGTGTGTGTTTCTCGCCCAGCTGGGAGGGTGGGCAGAGCCAAGGAACGCCCTGCCTGCTTCTCTTTGAAGATAAGACCCCATCTCTCCTTCCCTCTGTCTCTCTGTCTCTCCTCCTCTGTTCCTCTCCACCCCCCCCCCACGCCACACACATACACACACAGAGGCTGAAATCCAGGGTCTCACTAGCCTAAACATGACAAAACCTGAGTTCCAGACCCAGACCTTGGAGAAGTCAGAGGCCCTCTCCTGAGTCTCATATTCCTTTTATTTTTAATGTATTTAATTTAATTTAATTTATTTATTTGTCAGAGAGAGAGAGAGAGAGAGAGAGAGAGCACAAGCAGGGGGAGGGGAAGGCAGAGGGAGAAGCGGGCTTTCTGCTGAGCAGGGAGCCTGACGGGGAGCTCAATCCCGGGACCCCAGGATCATGACCTGAGCTGAAGGCAGCCGCTTAACCAACTGAGCCACCCAGGCGCCCCGAGTCTCATATTCCTGATTTGTAAAGGAATTGGAAAAGGTGACCTCGGAGGTCTCGTCAGCTTGAATGTTCTAAGGTTTTGTGCAATTATAGAATTTCATTATAGAATTCAAAGATAAACCCCGGCACTCTCTTTAATAAAGTCCTCTCCGCCGCACCCCCCCCAACCTTCTTTATTACTTCCAGCTCCTAGCCGTGCCTCAGGTTCCACCATAGTAGAGGCTCCTCTTGGGTGTGAAGGCATTTTGTCCTTTACTGAAATCAAGACAGACACTTCTGCCCCCAAACCTAGCACACTGCAGGAGGAGGTGGTCAAGCCAGGTATCGGTCAGCCCACTTTGGTGTGGATGAACATATATAAAAATGGTATCTTACCTGTTCCCCACCCCCACCCACCCCACCCCCGCACCCTTCAGAGCCATCTTGTGTGTCATTTCATCTGCTGCTCCCTGCAGTGGGCTGGGAGGTTTATCAGATGGTTTCCAAAGTGACAGCAGGCCGGAGCAGGTCTGGTGCAGGAGCGGTGGAGACCAGCAGAGGGGGTGTGTGTCTTAGGGTCCTGGAGGGCTAGCTGCCTTTGGGGAAGAGGCCCCTGAGTGAAGAGAGTGGAACAGAGGATGGGGATCTGGGAGAATCGGGAGCTAGTATTTGCAGAACGCTTAGCTCCGGGCCTGACCCATCCCTGGGGTTCAAGAGTGGGATCCGTGATCACATGGACGCAGGGCAAGAGCGGCTCGCCCCCGTTCAACACCTCTCAGTCCCCCAACGTGTCCATTCTCCTGCTGCCGTCCCTTCAAGTCTGATTATCAGGGCCACGTGTTAGCTTCTGGCCTTGACCACGGAAGGACCCTGTTCAAAATCAGTCTGCATCCCGTGGGGGTGTCCTTGGTTCATCTATCAGCATAGGTGAGAGATCCAATAAACTGGCTCTACCTAGAGCCCTCAGGGAAGGGGACATGAGGTGGCTAAGGCTTGTTTGCTTGATTTTACTTTTTTTTTTTTTGAGAGGTAGAGATGTGGTAAAAGAGGAGAATTTCTAGAACAAGCTAGGCCATTGGGCAGATGGAGATTTGGCTCGACAGTGAGGTCCTGCGGGATGCAGGGTACCCAGCGCGCATGGCGCCGGTGGGGGTGGGGGAGATGGGCAGCCGCACCCCTCAGGAAGCAGGGCTGAGGGGCCTCCAGGGCCTGCCCGGTGCCGGCTTTAATGAGCACCCAGGAGATGTGGCCGCATGAGGCTCCTCTTCCTGTTTTGCCTGCTGCCAGGCCTGAGTCTCATCCCGGGCCTGACTTGCCTGAGACCCTCCTTTCTTCCACCTGGGCTGACTCCTCCTCTCTCCCCCTCTTTCAGGAACCTTTTGGACAAGGACATGTTTTCCAAGTCCGACCCACGTAAGTCCTGCTCTGACACTGACAACAGTAACAACAGCAACGACATTGAGACGGATTACAGTGACATGCGGGAGCCCTTCCCCTGAGCGCTAACGCTGTGCCGGGCCCCGTGGCGGGTGCATCCAGGCTGTTGACTGTTTTACTGATACTGTCTGGAGAAGGAGAACTGCGGGTGTGACCCTTCCGCCGCAGGAACTTGTGAAGACTCAACCCAACCGCGGGGGTTCGCAGGGGTTCAGGGTGTCTGGGGCCAGGAGTTCTCAGTCCCAGGGAAACCAGTACGTTTCAGAGCCAGCCCCAACTGGCTGTGGTCTGGGGGGACAAGCACTGATTTTCGAGTCCAGGGATCTAGCCCTTAGCAATGCCATTCAACTCTCTGACCTTTGACAGGTCACTGGCCTCCTCTGAGCCTCAGTTTGCCCATCAGTGGAGTGGGACTGATGATAGTAATAGGCCTCATGAGGCTGCTTTGGGCTCTAAAAGGATGACTGATTCGGGTTTCAGATGTTCTCTCCTGCCACATCTCTGCAACTCAGTCCTCCATGAGCCCTCCATCATGTTCTGGCCTAGATGTGAACAGCCCCGGACCCCCTCCACGAGGGTGCCTCTCCCAGACATGCCTAAGTTCTAGCTGACTCCAGACCCAGCAGTGCTACCCAGGCCAGAGTCTCCTGAGGTGCCTCCCCCTCCAGAACCTTCCCCATCCGGGGCCCCCACCTTCCACTTGGCCCGGGGTCTTAACCCTGTTTTTCTCCTCTTCCCACAGTATGTGTCATGTATACTCAAGGGATGGAGAACAAGCAGTGGCGGGAGGTAGGTGGCCCCTTCCCCACCCCAGAAACATTGCCTGTCCCTCATTATCTGTCTGTTTGTCTGACTCTGAAGACATCCCACCTGATGTGTTTTGAAGTGCAGCATCTAAGCCCCTGGGAAGGATAGTAAGGCGTGAAGAACGTGGACTTTTGTCCCTGCTATTGCAGGAAGAAACATGGTAGAGGGGAAAGTTCCTGCCCTCTGTAAGCCAGTCTGAGGGAGAGATATGCCCTGGCCTCAGGGAGCCCCAGTCTGAGGGGAGAGACAACCCTGCCTCAGGGAGC